TTAATGAAATTCAATGAAATTGTGAGGCCAACTCACTTGATAATGAAAAAATTAAATCACCAGTCTGAGCGACCTGTGGTAAATAAAGTTATATTCAAGGATCTCTGATATTATCTAAACACGCATAAAATATAAATTACATTGTCGATTTTAATGGCAAATTTAGGTTTTCATATAAGAGATGTTTTCACTTTATTTTATTTAATGTTATAAAGGAATTTTTTAGAATTTTCCCATAATGATATGAGTAGGCATGACGTTTCCATCGAATTCCAAATAACCATGCTTCCCAAAAGTCCTACTCGTCCATCATGAACTGGTGTTTCGACCTCACCAACAAATCCTGTCTCCCCTTAAATAAATTAGTGTAAATACTTATTATATATATGATCTATGGTAGTCCCTAAAACCTACTCATATAACTAATATAAGTAATATAATCGACTACTGTAGAAAATAGAACTTTTCTTCAATGAAAATCACACCGCAGAAATGTAATATCGGAAAGGCATGGCCTCCCTTGAAATTCACACTTGCTCTGTGACTCAAGGGCATGTGTGGCAATGTGGTGTAACGGTTGACGTGTTAAGATTAGATGCTACACAACCCGGACGCGAGTTCCGCTGAGGGTAGGGGTAAAACTTTGGCGAGGTCGAAACTGCAGTCCTGTCCAGCCTGGATGTGAGTACATTTTGTAAATCAAGGCGACGTACAATTTACTTGAAGGATGAGGCCTACTCATAAACTTGTGATCAAAGTCAACTACCAGTCCTTGAACGAAATAGAGTAAATACATCCCATATATGGTGAAATTAATTGACATTAAGCAGCCTATCCATTTCATCGAGACAAAAACTCCACCATCAATCCTGTAGTCGTCATTAATTACCTATGGTCACTAATTTCTGATTCAGGAATTAAGGCTTGTTTCTAAGCCTATTTATTAGTGAATATACTATACTTTGTATTCACGACAGGGTATGCAATAGCAACAACAACAGTATGCACATATTATTATACTTATAGTGTTGTGAAGACATTTATTTCATATGAAAGGGCATGAAGAAGAGATTCGTTGAACAACTTCATCAAAAGACGCCGGCAGATTTTCTGAACGTCGTGTCAAAGCCAAACAGCTGCAGCACAATGGAATTCGGCCTGCGCCTTCTGGCGAGATTGATCTACGAATCTCTTCATCATGCACTTTCATACGAAATGAAAGTTTTACATCAATCTTGTTTCAGAAGATGCTTCGAAGCCCTCATTTTCTTCGTAGTATACTTAGTTTTCCATACTCCAACATGGCAGATGCTGATAGTTGAACTGATTCTGCTCTTTTAAGTTGCAATGTCCTCTTGTTTCTCCACATAAGAACTTTGAAGTTCCTCTGCAGATTAAGATATGCTTGTATACAATGCCGCGCAAGTTGGTATCATCTGCGAGTAAAGCCAGGCTTATTACCAAACTACAAATCGTCATTGATGAGCGAAATTCCACGTAATGTCTTCACGGTGGTATCTGATATACATGGGTCCCTGAATCGTCTTCCAATGAGTACAGTAAAATCCGAGAAAATTAATCAATCATTCTTACTCTCTCTTACAGTCGCCATGTTAGAACCTCCTACGAATCTTATTCATGATCCGCCCTCCTACAATTGCACCCCCCTGTCCAGGTTACGGAAATTATCTCAATTATGCTTAAAGCAACCCTACAGCCAAGGCCCAATTAGAATAAAGAAAATCTCCATCCCCAACTTGGTCCCCATTCGTACAATCTCGGTGCTATGTTCTCGTGGAGAGGATACCTGCAGAAGACTGCTTTCTGGATGAGTGACCGACCTCACGACGTCACAGCACCAAGGCAAATAAGGTGTCTGGGTATAGCCAAGACCTCGTCAAATCGGATTATTCTGTACTATCTCCCCTTATCAGCCAATCAGAGAGGCGTGATTTACTGTCGGCAACAGTTACTGCCAGAAAATGGACCATTTTTCTGACCCATTTTTACTGCCCACGGCATGCCCTAAGTCGACCTCGGGAGAATTGGAAGATTCCAGGACAGATGACTGGACAGGTCACTGGGTCCAGGCAGGCACGTGCCAAACCAGGCATCACCAAATCCCAAAAATGTTTATCTTATGAATACCCGCTCAAGGGACCTCATTTGCCGTGGCAACAAGGCGTGGCTGATGCACCAGCCGTGGAACAGATGGAATCCGTTAAAGTTAAGCCCTAGCCTAGCTGCAACACCCAGGGAATTCGCTTTTGTCCCGCACACAAATGTTCTTGTTTCCAGGTCGGCTGTGGACATCTTCCGATCGTGCAATTCGAGGCAGTTGCTTCTTCAAATGAACGCATGTGTTTGGAGACTAATCGCGAATTAAGAGGCTGAAAAGCCAAATTTTAAGAAGTCCTTCTTGATTTGACCAGCTCCGTAGACCATATCCAAGGGCAACTTGGGGCTTGTGCTTGTGCACCTGATGGTTGTTGTGAATATGATAGTGTCAGCTGAGTACAAGTTTCCGTTAATCGCAATGCAGAATCCATCGCCCTCGTCCAAAGTGGGTGTAATTAAAAATTATTGTGAATCAGGCTTAACATTATATAATCGAAGGTATGAAGACTAAGATGGTGTGTCGCAGTCTCCTTTCGTTGTATAGAAATGATTTGACCTTGTTTTCGCAACTCGGTCATACTGGTAAGAAGACTTAGTGTAACACAATTAGTATGCATCATCATTTCCAGAGTAGGACCGGGGACATGGTACATTCCGAGACGTTTCGCCGGCATCGTCAGTGAGTCTCGCCATTTGTAGCACCATATTACAAATCTTCAAAGAGACAAGTGAAGCCCATCCTTTTACCAAACGTGTGCCAAAGAGTTGTGGTGTTTCCCCTGGCCTATTCACATTTCCTATATCCTCCTATCATGTCTTTCCCTTCATGCTCCTTCGAGCGGCATTTATGAAAACCCTTCACATTCCACACTGACGTTATCATCTCCTTCACCCTTGTGCTGGAAATGTTGACTAGAGTCTGTCATATTGTTACGTAGTCCTTCCCTTGGTCCTATCAAAGTCTCCTTCTTGCCATGTCGAATCCGTCTGCCATCTCCCTGGTACATGTATTTCACTCAACCCCTGCCCCAACCCCATCTGTGCTACTCAATGCGTAATTCGTCTATCCCCTGCACCTGGGTGATTGATTAGAGGCTAAAGTCGCAGAATAAGTCTAATGGTCACGCTTTTGCCACATGGACCATGTCTCTTGTAAAACCTACTGTCAGCCAACTAGCTCCAATCGCCGTCTCGTCTATCCTGTCTCTATCCCTAATACTGCTATAGACGACGATAGGACAAAAGTATTAAATATATCTTCAATCCCTCTGGATTCTGAAACTACAGATCTCTTAAAGAAGGGGTTACATTTTTCACTAGGTAATGAAGGTAACGTTCGAAGTGATATTATGGTGGAAGTTGTCAACATAACGGATAAACCAAAGGTATGAAGACAAAGATGATGTGCCTTTTGTGTGGTCGCATTCTCCTTTCGTTGTATAGAAGTTGTTTGACCTTGTTTTCGCAACTTGGTCA